CTGGCTGTGGTTTTCGCCGTTTCTGGTTGGGGGCTCTCGTGGCGGTCCTCTGCGGGTTGCAATCCCCCAACCCCAACAAAGCCAGGTGTAGGGTGCCTGTAAATCTGTGGAGTACCCTGGAGCAGGACTGACACTTCCAGGACTTTCTCGTGGTTTTGGAGGGTCACCCACGTGTGAGATAATAAAGCACTTTGGCAGAAGATTTCTCGCTGCTGCTGCTGCTGCTTCTTCTTTTTTTTGTTTTTATTTTTTGTTCTTTTTCTCTCTTGGAATATTGTGAACCAGGTGTAGGGTGCCTGTAAATCTGTGGAGTACCCTGGAGCAGGACTGACACTTCCAGGACTTTCTCGTGGTTTTGGAGGGTCACCCACGTGTGAGATAATAAAGCACTTTGGCAGAAGATTTCTCGCTGCTGCTGCTGCTGCTTCTTCTTTTTTTTGTTTTTATTTTTTGTTCTTTTTCTCTCTTGGAATATTGTGAACATATTTGTGGCCATTTAAGGTAAAGTTACAATTTGCTGTTAGAGTAACTTGCGTGTGTGTCTTTTTTAATTGTTGATCCCAATGTGTTATTTAAAAAGAGGTGCAACTTACTCAGTGTGTAAATGCAAATAGAAAACACACGGTATGCGTGCACGCATAACTGCTCGTGTGCATAAATATATATTGGTATACCTAGCGTAATTGCGTGTGTGAGCTAGACAAGAACGTGCAAACGATAAGTGTAATAACTTGGTGCTTTATTTCCTACTGGAAAATGAAGTCGAACTAGTTTTGGGGGGAGCGCGTCTGGCCTGCAATAGGAAAATGTAAAATAAACGTGTAACGTGCTGTAGGGTGGAGCGGGGGGGAAGGGGGCCGCTGGCATCGTCCCCAGAAACTTGAGCGTGAAACAAATCAAACGGTTGATTTTACAAAGTTTGCAGCAATACTCCCTCTGCACATTGAAAACCGTGCTTTTTTGAAATTTAGCTTTAGGCAGCGGAAGGGGTGTGTGTGTGTGTGTGGGGGGGAAGATCACTAACGAACCGAAACAAAGCAGAATATTATTATTATTTTTTTTAAATGGACTGGATAACACAAGGGGGAAAATATCGTTCCTCTTGGCAAAGTCTCGGCGTCACGTGTATTTGCAGCCTCGTATAAACTTGCTTCGCCATGTGTATGTGCGCGAGCTGGGCGAATTTAAAGTATAACCGGGCGCAAAAGTGCGGCGCGGGGAGGGAGGGAGGAGGAGGAGGAGGAGGCGGCGGCGGCGGCTGGTCCGGCTCGGCTCCACCAGCGGGTGCTTATCAACATCTCGGGGCTGCGCTTCGAGACCCAGCTGGGCACCCTCAACCAGTTCCCTGACACACTGCTGGGCGACCCGGATAAGCGCATGCGCTACTTTGACCCGCTCCGCAATGAGTACTTCTTCGACCGGAACCGGCCCAGCTTCGATGGGATCCTCTACTTCTACCAGTCCGGTGGCAAGCTCCGCCGGCCCGTCAATGTCTCCCTTTATGTCTTTGCCGAT